AAGCATGTTCTTAAACCACATTTATGGAGTATTTTTTGAATAACCAGTATTTTCACAAAATTTTGGCTAGTATCTGCTAGTCTTCATATTTTGTTGATGACTTGTTGCTGCACATCGAGAGAAAGCTGCTTCTTTCATAGAAGTCAGTATGATCGCTCCCATATTTAACACGGAAGGCATTTTGACTGTGGCCTAAATGAACATTTCACGCATTTGCGGTGTTTATCCGAGGCCTGTGTACAAGCTTCAGGGAGTTGTCGTTAATTTCTAAAGCATCAATTGAAGATTTAATTGAAGCTGAAACCTGCAAGTCACTTGCAGGTGACTGTTTGCAAGTCACCTGCAGCAAAGAAGAGAATCTATTTAAGCTTTGTCACAATCGTATGTTTTTACAATCTCAGTGGTATATTCAGGAAAAGCTGCATGTATTTTTTAAAATAGGTATTTAGCTGTTTTCCCATAGGCCTTCAGCATTCATTCTCTCTAAATGTGATCTAAAATACCGATGACTGAACTCTTCATGGAATGAAAACTGGAAGTCTGGAATCAAAAGTTTTGAAGTTAAATGCAGTCTATTGATCTGTGATCCAGGGATCCTGTGTATATCTTTCAATTTACCTGACTAGAAATCCTAAGTAAAGCACATACAAGACTTATTTTTTTCTTCCTTCTTCTGGTGTCTCTGTCCTCTATGTTAAATATATACATATATATATATTATTTTTTTAAAGTGAAAGTTGCTAACCCTCTGTAACAGCAGGAAATGAAAAGAGATTAATGCTGGTTCATTGGCAGGTGCTGTGTCTGGACAACGACCCTAAGAACTAGAATAGCAAGAGTGCTGCATTAAAAAGGGAAAGTTAATCCAGAGGGTGGAGGCATTGTTTTTGTTTTTGTTTTTTTCTAGACTATGGCAGCTCTTTCATTTTCATACCAGACTGGGGAGTGTAACAGCACGCCTAAAGGTTTCTTTTGTATGCTGTTCCTAACTGCTGTAATGCCTTTAAATGACCTGGAAGTTACTCTTTTAAGGGGTGAGATCTGGTCCTTTATTACTTCACAAGGATCCATAATTGAGAATATTGAGATCTGGTATCATCTTTGTTAACTAAGTGAGGAGAAACAATGATGGCTTTGAGAAAAGCTGCCCAGTAACTTTAGCCTTCTAGAATCCTGTCTAATAAGCTATACACACTTTTTACTCTACCTTCTGCTAATGTTTTTTAGAATTTCTGCAGGTTTCTTTACAATAGTCATTTTCTCCTGGGATTACTTCAGAAAATTCAGTCTTCAGAAATATTGAAGATGTGTTTACCTGAAGATTTTCAGTGGGAAGCAATACTGGGTGGTTGCTGTTTTTCTAATACATGTCCTGGTGGGGTTCACTGCCTATAAACTACTTATTTAACTTGGCTGTGATGAATTATGTTACTTCCACTGCTTCAAACACCCAACTAAATGTATTAAAGCTGGGATTCCTTTTTCAGCAACAGCACCGAAGCCTTATGCATACATCTGCAGCTATTCTTAGGCTTACCTAAAACCCCCAGGGAAGTTGAAGCCCTAAAATAGGTTCTTTGATTTTTATTTTTTTATTTTCAGCATGAAAAAAGTTTGGAATGGAATTGACTCCTCTGAGCCTTATGCTTAATTTCCAACTTTTGAACTCTTTACCCCAGGTATGTGTTTAAATCTTTGGTTGCCATTTGATGCTTTTGTGTGTACCTCCCCTCCAATTTCAGGTGCTGATGTCATGTCTGAATTCACGTGGCTGTGATACAGATGGGCTTGCTAGTATTTTTCTTTCCTATCTTGGTGTGTCACGTCCATGATGGCTTTTATCATGTCCTACCAACGCTTTTCAGTAACTGTTGAATGTTTTCCCTGAGGAATGGTAGGTCTATCATCTCCAGAGATTATTATATACATGTAGAATGTGTAAGGAGTTCTTTATGGGCTGGCATCATTTGTTCTGACAAACATTTTGCTATGATGCAAAAAAAAAAAAAAAAAAAAAAAGAGTAGTAGAAAAACCTGCATACAAAATCTAAAGGTATTTGCCCCTTTAAAGGAAGAGAAAGCAGAACTTGCTTTTAATGATTGTCTTAAACAATCTTTGTTCAGCCTTGATGCTTTGTTACAGAGCTATTGTTTGCACCTTTGTGTCGACTTCTTGGAAGAGGGTCCAAAGAGGGTTATTCCGTGATATTGTATGTAATCTACCTGGTGCCTTTGTGGACATCTCCATATAATAGGAAGAATAAAGCAGTGTATTGATGTTCTTTCACATAATTACATACTCTCCCCATTCATATGATGGGAGCCCTATGGATGTTTTCAGCTAACCAATTAATCAGTAAAGCTGCTTTTACTGTAGACACGGTGTTGGAAATGATTGCTTTAGGAAACTGGCAGCAGCAGGAGGGTTACTTCTACCAAAATAAGGATTGTATTTTATGCTGGAAGTAATACAGGAGTATGCATGAAAATCTGATAGCAAGGAAGGGCAATTAGCATTATATCATGCACTGTGGTCTAAAAGAACAGTATGGTGCTTGTGGAAGTTTGCTGCCACTTCTCCCTACTCCTAATACGTACGTGGACGTGCCTATCTGTTTGTAGGAATGGTGGAACAACTTTTTCTATTGATAACTTTCCATATAACTTCTGAGGACTTCCTGCTTTGGAATTCTGTTTTTCTGTCTATCATAGAGGTAGGCAAGTTAAACCATAGGCAGGAAAAGCAGCTTTTATTTTTTTATTTAATAAACATTTAGCATGGAAATGTTAAATGTTCCCTTTATCCACGGTCACTTGGCTAGAGAAAGAATGAATATTTAATGGCTATTTACTACAGCAAAGCAGACTGAAATTAGTCATCAGCTCAGCATAGCTGTGCACTGGAAGGTATTCCCCACAATGTCCATCGATGAGTTTTTTGGGAACAGATGAGGCAAACACCTGTCAGCTGGTCCCAGCTAGGGTCAGAGAAAGGGATTTTCCTTCCTATTTCCTCTGATTTCTCTTGCAGATGTAAATGTTTGGTTGTGCAGGTGATAACCTAGACAAACTACAGACAAAACTTGTTTTAAACTTAACTTCCATGTAAAGTAAGCTTTTACTTTATGTTGCCTGTGTGGTATGGTTTAAAGAATACTGGACTTGAATGGCTGCATTTATAGGTGGAGAATGCCTCTCGAAGCATCTGAAAAGAGGTGGGATGGAGCAAACGGATATAAAAGGTTTGTTTTGGTGTAATTGGAAGAGAAAAGAATGATGTCAGTAAAGAGCAGAAGAGAATTGCATCTCAGTAAGGGGTCTGAACTTTCAGCAACTCAGTGATCTGCTCTCTGCCTTCTCTACTGCCTTAGAAGGAGCTGTTATTCTGCTGATGCTTCAGACCATCACAGGGCAGTAAAAGTGGTGGGTTGTGTGCTCCCAGGTGGCAGCAGGTCCCTGTCCCAAGAGCCACGGCTTAACAGAGATGCAAAGCCTCTTCTTGGAAAGAGGGAAGCACCTAAATTGCTTGTCCTGAAGAGCGATTCTTTGGTTCATCTTTGCTCTGTCATGGGGATAGATTGAATGAGCAGAATTGAATGAAACAATCCTATTTTATAGATTGAACAGGCATTGAAATGGGGAAGACATTTGACAGCAGGTTTATTAAGCCATTTTCCGTGAAAGCTCTGAACACACCTGTTCTTCTAATAGTAACTTAGGTGCTACTGTTCAAGCAATGATCCTGGGAATATCCTTCAATTTGATCTCTGGCTTAGATTTCTGTATTGTAGTAGACTATTCTGTATTGATTTATGAAGAACATACTTTGGGAGATAATGGAGGACAACGGTCACAAAGGGAAGGATGGAAAACTATTCACAAATTTTTCTTCCATTAAAGCAAATGATTATTTTGCTATGCAAGTCATTTACTATAATGTATTCGTATTCTTATTTATTAAATGTGCCAGGAATTCTATATTCAGAAAAATAACTAAAAGCCACAGCATGCTTTTGCAAATACAGTATTGCAAGTACATTACTCCAGCAGAAGTAAAAATGTTCATATCTCGCAGGTCATTAAGTAAGCCATCTTTGTGAGATGAAGCATCACTTCTAAAATCCATTGTTAGGAAAGTGATGGCATGTAAGCAGAATTATTTGGCATTTGGTTGGAACATGGGGTTGTTCCTCTGGCAAAGGATGCCCTACAGAAAGAGTTAAATGTGGCAAAATGATGCTCAGGAGGGGGGCAGTGGGTATAGAGAGGGGAGTAAAACTGACCAGGAGGTTCAGACTCTTCTCTAAATTCAGCAGGGCCCTTGGGAAATGTTCACAAACTGAATACTGGGTGTGTGATTTGAGGGAAAGCTAGAAGCTGAGAGGGCAAGATCATACCTTTGTCCTCTGCCTTTGGTCCTTGAGGGGTCCTTGTACGAGGATATTCCACTAAAACATTGTTAAACCTCTCTGAGATGCTGCGATGTCCAAGAGGGTTAATGTACACGCAGCTCCTGTGGCTACACAGAGCACAGGTAAGTGCTGGTTATGCTGCGTTGTTATTTTATCTATTTTTTTTCCCTTGAATAATTGCTTGAGTCACTTGTGGTGGCTGTATTTTGGCAGGTAATACAGGTTATTCCTGAAATCGTGTTTTTTTTTTCCCCACTGGATCAATATGGATCTAGTCTCTTGAAAAATCTCCTGTAAAGCCTCTTTATACAGCTCTGTCTAATTATCGCAGTGCCCTTGATAAAGAGTTAGCCACAGTATGGCTTTTCATACCATAATTAATAGCCTTCTAGGACTAATCTCTGAAATGCAATTTGCATGCGAAAATAACAGTTCAGGCTTATGGGCTTTGATATTTTGCGCATTCCTTGTTCTCTTTTATTTGCTTCTGTTTCCTTTTCTTGCAGTTTAAGTGCATCTTCGTAAGTACCATCTGCTTGCTTGGTCCCATTGAAGTTTGTTTCCATCTACTTTTAACCTCTTCCTATGCATCTCTGTGTCTGAGCTCTCCCATCTGAGCACAGACATTAAAATAGCACGGCCTGACTTTCTGAAGTGTTCAGTGAATGCAAAGCCTTCTGCTGTGAATGGGACCTGGAACCGATCAGTCCTTCGAAAATGAGATCAGTCCTGTTTAAAGGAGGTATGGAGCTGGGACGCTGAGGTAAGGTAAGTAACTTCAGTGACCCGTGTACTTTAAAATCCTTCCTGCAATCAGGATAATGAAATAATGGCAGACATTAAAGCTTTAACTTGAGCAAAATCAAATGATTCACTTGGAAATACTATTAACTTTAGACCAGTTAGGACCAGTGACATAACGTGGCTTGATGAAGAGACCCCAGGAGGATTGGTTCAGTCCTTACGTGTGGCAATCCCCTGGCTCGGCAGTGAGCAAACCTGTGCATAAGACAAAGCAGTGTGTTATGTCTTAAGGCCCCAGTGTGGCTGCTCACAGCTGCACCTCATCAGCCTCATCTGTAGATCCAAGGTCACTGAGAAGCACGAAGGCTGGGAAGGGCTTGTAGGGGAGATGGGGAGGGGATGTCTGAGGAGTGTGTGCAGCTATATGGCTGGTTTTTAATGGATTTTGTAAGAAAACTGGCGCTGAACTCGGTCACTCAGAAATTAGCTCATGTCAACATTAAAATTATGTGCATGCCTTAGCAGAAGCTTAGATTTTAATATAATTGAGACTAAAAAGGCAGCAAAAGGTGTATCCTTAGCTTCACAGTGGTGAAGTCATCCCATGCTAGTTGCTGCTGTCCCATGATTTTTTCAATGTAGACTTTTCCTTAAGAAGTGCTGTTACATCTAACCTTCAGTGAGATAAAGCAGCATATTCTTTTTCTCAGTTTTTGAAATAAACTTAAAAACAGCAGCAAAGATCTCTATCTTGTTTGAAGCAAGTAGTCCCATGGAAGATCTGATCAGGACCATTACGGTATTCCAGCAAAATCACAAAACACACAGCAGAACTAAATAAGGGGAGGTGTTGAGCAATCTCACCTTCAGACTTGTCTGTCTACAAGTAATCAGGAGATAGAAAGCAGACCTAGAGCTTCTCCTTTTAATTTATTATCTGTCCCCAGCCATGTGAGGAGTGTGGGCAGATTTTTTTTTGCTGCTGCTCTGTTACGTAGTGCAACAACAACAGCTACAAAAAGGTGACTTTGAGGCATGGGAGGTACAAGGGGGAGGAGTGCTAGGCTTTGTGCAGGCACCTGGCTGTATCTCCCCGAACCAGCAGATGAGGCTGTTTCCCATTGCTTTTTGCAACCCTGCAAAACCCTAGAAAAGCAGTTGAACAAAATATTGATAATTGGGTCTTTACGGAAGAACGATTGGAATCGTTCATTTTTATTGGCAGTGCTGCTTTTCTTCCTCCACATCCAGAAGTACCGGAGGTTGAGTGAATGGCTCCTACTTCCTTGTTGCTGTGCAGAGTAAGAAATTGGAAATGCATTTGATAAACACGAGCTGCTACTGTACCACCTTGTGAGCAGTGCTTCTGAGGCTGGCCTGGCTGCTACTGATGGATTTCCTTACTGCTCCTGGGGTCTCATGAATCAGATAACATGATTTTTTTCTTAGTTTTTGTTACTTTGCTTGCTTTTGTCAGATTATCTCCTCTTTCCAGATGATTATTTCTGGCTGGAGAACAATTCTCACCACTGAAGTGCTTCTGCTCTGTTTCTTTTTGGCTGGCTAGCAGAATCACTCTAACACTTTACAAGTAACTTTCTGATAGCTGTCAGTGTAACTTTCACCAATCTCCCTACTTTGATTATAATTAAGTATATCTCTAAACATGATTTTATGTCTCTTCTCTGCACTCTTAATGTCTCATAATGAAATAGGTTCAAAATCACCCACCAAGTAGAATACCCAGGTATATTTTTGGAATTTGTACATCCATACTGCATTGACTGGTGCCTTCCAAGGTACCAAGCCTTGCATGAGAAGGGGCTTCACTGTTCTTTGGGCCTGTTTCTGTTTAAGTGTAATCTTTTTAGAAGATCATATATTTCGGGGTATTCCTTTTCCTGTCATGGTTAGGAAGAGCTCTTAGGTTTGAAAGTATCTTAGGTTTACTTTTTGTCTAGAAACTTGTGGGAAAGATGTGAGATGCACCCTTATTATTCACTTTTGTTCCAAGGGAAATACTTCCATATCCATTGCAGTTCTTATTTTTATTGTTTTACACTTGCTTTTGCCAAGCATTTCGTCAGAAAGATTTCCTAATCACTTGATAAATACCTACTTCATTGCACTTAAAGGTAACAATCTAAACTCTCTTAGCAATTGCTGTTTTAAATCAATAAAGCATTTAGTAGAACGTGCTATCGCTGATACTGTGATAACACAGGTCCAGAACAGGTAGGTCTGGCAATAAAGGGATGGCAGAAGCCTTTTTTTTTCCTGGGGAGGCGGAGCACTGCAAATGGCAGCTCGTGGACTGCCTGAGTGATGTGGCTTGTGCTCCCAAGGCAGGTGATGTGCTCCCTGCTTGTTTTCAGAGCACACCCAGAAATCTGCTCATTCTGTGCTTTCCCCCCCCCCTCTTTCCTTGAAATTTCCCCCCCACAACCCCCCCAAATCACCTTGCTGGGAGGCTCTGCAGTGTGGCCAAAAGTCCAGTTTCATCAGCAGCTTAATCAGGTCTAACAAATGGCTAATGCTGCACTCGCCACCACTTTTGGTTGCGTTCCCATTGCTCCTTTAATGAGAGCTGGAGGGTTTATGTGGCTGTGCAGTGGCATAGCGGTTTGCTGAGTGAACTAAAATGTTATAATAAGAAAAAAGCAATCTGAGACAATCTGACCATTCGTTGGATGAATCGTTTGCCCTGCCTTGCCATATGGGTGTAAAAGGACTAAGAACAATGCAAAGAGGGAACAGGAATGTATGGCCAGATTGGGGTGGCGAAGCATTCGTCTTAGGTGCTGCTGTTTGAATACAGCGATCGCTCCACCAGTCAATAACACTCTGGTACCTGTGAAGCTGAGGCATTGTCTTTTGAAGTATTTGGCTGTGTCAGGGTAACACAGGATTCATCAATAAAAAACTGCATCACGGTCCTTCTGTGCCATCTCTTGGTATTGTCACACGGCTTGGCATTGTGGGGTACAAGCTGAAATGTAAGGTGGGACCAGTTTATGTCAATGTGTAGTTAATCTTCTGGAGACCTTGTACTTCGTGAACCAGGAGTTCAACCTGGGGAGGTTTTGAGGTTTTTCACAAAAGGGCATAGCTGTGCAATAGTGCTGGAGCTAAAAACTAGGTAAGTCAGCATATTCCATTGCCTATTTAAAGATGGTCATACAGGGCTTGCGCCAAAAAAAAATATTAAGATGTCCTTTCCTTTAACCACTGCCAGGCCCAAGGGCTAAGCAGAAGAGGTTGTGCAGGTGATGTCAGCCCATGGGGTGCTGCCCAGGGGCAGTCACATGTTGCACAAGGATGTCTGATGGGTGCTGATAGTTTGACACACAGCACCTGCCCTAAGAAGTGTTACTCTGTTGCAAAAGCAGCAAAAACTCATACTTACGCACAGCTCTGGTAGTTGGCTTGTACCTCTTCCTGTAAGGAACGTTTTGTTTTCCAGTTGCACTTCATACCAGGCGAGACCTAAAAGCTCTTTATCCCTTCATCTCTCCTTCCTTGCCCTCAGGATTAAATGCTGTAAGAGCAGACTTTAAGGAGGTGCTTAGATGGGATTGGTCTTGTTCCATTCTGATTTAATACCTTATCAAAGCTCCTCGGGTTTCACCATAATGTTCTGCTTTAAAGGCCCCCTGCAGTTTCTAGTTAATCTCCTCCTCCATTTATTTTCTCTTACTCATCCAAAAAAATTCACCATGATGTATATCCATTCCCCTATCCCGGCTCATTTGTAGTGTTTTGTTGACGTCTTCTTTTATTTTTTTTCCCACTCTCAGTGAACACATAGGACCCTTATCCATGGAAAACAGTGTTAAGGATCTTGCCTGTACATAAAAATCGCACCTGTTCTGACAATTCATCTGCATTTTATATACTATATAGAGAAGAAATGAATCTATGCTCTGGGTCTTTAACTTCATTTCCTTCTTCACCAGCCCCTAGCAATGTAACCTCCCAGTAGTTATGCCTGTTGACTCACAGCTGCAGATACTGCTGGCTGGGGAAGTCTGTGCAAGCTCTTGTTGATTAACAATGTCTATGTTGTTGACCTTGTCGCCTTTTCTTGCTACATACTTGTTCCCAAAGCCATCAACTTCCTTAGCGAGTAAAATAAAATATTTCTTATGGTTGGAAGTACCAGGTATGATTTCTAAATAAATAAATATAAAAACACAACACCAAACACCTCCCCCCCCCATCAAACTACACGTTAGTCACCTTTATTCCCCCCTGCTTTGGGTCAATGCTGCTCAGATGGCGAGATGGTGAAATGACAACTGAAGCATGAGGTTTTCTGGATTTCTGGTGTATGCATGAAATTACGTAGATCAATCATGGATTCAAGAGAAAAATAAGGCATGGAGATTATGCAGCAGCATAATCCAGATAAAAAAGGTAAAGCTTTAGAACTGCAATGAGGTGTGAGTTCCATCAGTATGCTCCATTATTGATGGCTTGAGTGTAATATAAAACTGTCAGGTAACCTTCATTAAACATAACTGCATCTTTTGAATTAATTTTAATTTAAGAAAAAGAAAAATTTCATTTTAGTGTTACGTTTATTCAACTTCCTTGGACTTTGTTTGGAATTTTTGATTTTTAAATAATTTCTTCAGGCAGATGTTTCTTGGTCGCAGGATAGGATCTTCTGTGTCATGTTTATCCTTTTTCAAAAATAACAGAATAATCTTTTTACAGAATTCTTTCTTTTTGGTGATGCAATTTACAACAAAAATCCTTCTCATAAGCTTACAAGACATTTTTGTTATTGGCATCTGACTTTATTATGAGTCTCAGTAATGCTGTTTTCCCTGATACCTGGATTTAATGAACTTTTCTTAGCCATCAGAATATTAATGCAAAACACTTGCTTGCTTTTGTTTTAGCCTCAGACTAAATAAGACCATTTTAAACTATTTAATTCTTATTCCTTGGTAAATTGACAAGGTATATAAAAGACTGCATGTGTGCGAGTCCCGCACTGGTAATTCTGTGGCATGACTGGGGAAAGGACGTGACAAAAGCTGAGAGCTGAAGTCTGCTGGTGGGAGAGAAGTCATGTTGTGGTGGGCTGAGAAAGATCTGTGTACCGGGGATAATCCAGGAGAGCTGAGATCAATAAACTAAAGATGTGAAGTTGGTGGTTAGTTCCATAGCTTAAACCAAATTTAAATAAAAACATACCACTACAAGCATGGGATGATAGACAATAAACTGGGAAGAAAATTTATATTAGCTAACGTATTGTTTACCTTTACGTAAAGAGGCAGGAAGGCTGTCTTCTCCTAGCTGCAAATGTTTGACTAGCTTTACATGATAGTATTTTACTAGCTTATAAGAATGTCGTATGATCAGTATTCTTGTATTTTATTTTGTAGGAAAGTCTTTTATTTATCTTGCATTGAGACTATTTGCACAGTTAAGTATACTGAGGTCACTGTTTTAAACGCTGTATTTAAAGTTTGTGTTTTTTGTATCCCTGACAGTGTAGAGACCTAGGAAAGAAGAACTGTGACACACAGCTCAAGAGAGCCACCTGGTACAGTTGTAGAATCCGGAAAATGGCAATGTATTCTTAAGCCTGTGGTGTTCTCCTGATGCTTTCAAACACCATCAAAAAGAAAAAGGTGAGGGGATTAAGGGAAGCTGCAGAACTGGAGGTATGATTACCCTACACAATCCTGATGCAGTTTTAACATAGCTTATTTACATACGAAAATACCACAAGCACCTGATTATCTACTGAGATCCTCAGATGGATTTTGAAGCTCACTGAGCTCTGTGCTAGTCCTCAAGGTAGCTAATTAAGAGTAATCCAGGTATGTCTACACAAGCTGTACTTATACCGCAAGACTATGCTGGAGGAATTCCAGTTAAGTAACACTTTAACATCATTAACAGCACAGAAGCCTAAGATACTTAAGTTTGTGTGTGTTGTAGATAGTATCTAAAATAAGTAACACTTAAAAGCTGATAACACAGAGAGAAATATGTTATTACATTTTTGTCCCTCTTATTTCAAAGTTTCACCGATGCATTTTCAGAACCCCCCTGCAATGTAGCAAAGTGGTAATTGTGTGCCATGAGATGTGGGAGGAAGAGGTGAAGTCACTTGCTGGAGACAGTGATTGGATTAAAGCTTACGTGTTTTTTGTTTTACTTTTTTTTTTTTTCACCCTTGCACTCAACTTCTACTTTATTTTTCTGTGTAGCCGTGTACTTTTTAGAGGTATGAAAACTTTAAAGAAATTCTAGTATTACAAGTTGATTCTATTAAGACAAATTACTTCTGCCACTACCAGTTAACATATTTGTCTTTTATTCATGTAAGCCTATTAAGTGTTCATATCCTATGTCTCTGATGTACATTAATTGCGGAATAATGCTTCCACTGAAAGTTTTGTATGTAACCTTGAATGAAATTCTTCTACCACGTTTGGATAAGATGGGATAACACTTTTTTTCTTTTTTTATGTATCTGTTTGTTATTACACAACATAATGGAACTTAGCAAACATGCAAGGTGACAAACATACTTTAAACATTCCTCCTGTGACATTATTTTTGTCTTTATTAAATGGCCAGAGGAATCAGGTATTCACATTTCCTTTTTCATACAAGTCTATAGCGTATTGTTAAATAAAAAGGACAAGTGCATATCAATCCACATTTTTGGCAAAAAGGAAGCATGTATTGCTTAGACTCCATTTATTTTTCAAAAATCTAGTTGAAATTAGGTTATAAATTAAAATGACAGCACAACACAAAAATCAGTGACTTATGGCAGATTTTTGAAGGTTTTATTTTCAGCCTTCTATGTGCATCTTTTCCTTTTTAAAAACATACCCTGTTCTTTGCTTTGACTTCTTAAAGACTGTGTAAGTCATAGCTGGGTGCTACTCAAATAGTGTGTTTGTTATACGAGGGAATCAGAAGGTAACACCTGCTTGCAAGGTTACTGTTATGGAGTACCTTCCTCAGGAAGAAAGAAAAGGGAAAAATTGTAAACTGTTAGAGGTAAATTTTAAATGGTAATTGGAGTTCTGTTCTTTGCAGTCAAAACTCAAAACTGACTGGACTAAGGAATCCAGGATTTGACCCTGAGTTTGTGACAGCTAGCTTAGGTGCTTAGACAATTTGTTTTACAGTAGTTCAGTTTATTCATGTGGAATTCAGCCTTGCTGAGACGAAGGAAACTCCTTAACGCGAGAATGGAACTCTAAGCCTGGGAAGTGCCTGAAGGAGGAGGGAAACCTGGAGCAGGGGCACGGGCTTCACCCGGGAGGGGACAACACTGAGGGGACAACGGAGGCTGCGGGCGGGCTCGGGCGCGCTGAGGCGGCCGGCCCGAAGATGGCGGCGGGGCGGGGCGGGGCGGTGCCGGGCGGCCCTTCCCGCGCGGCGGGCGGCGCGCAGCCGCCATGGTGGCGGCGTGAGGGCGGCGGGCCGGCGGCAGGCACCGTCCCCGCGGGGCGCGGCGGGGCGGCCCGGGCCGGGCATGGAAGTGGAGAAGATGGACGAGAATGAATGGAAGTACCACGGGGAGGGCAACCAGAGCCTCGTCGTCTCGCACTGCCAGGTGCGGCCCTTGCGCGGTGGGGCCGGAGCGCCCCTCCCCCGCCGCCGGGCCCCGCGTGAGGGGAGGGAAGGGGGGGGGCGGGCCGGGGCCTCCCCAGGTGCGCGGTCGGGCCGGGCCTTTCCTTAACCGGGGCAGCGGCGGCAGCCTGGAGACGGCTGGGGGGACGCGCTGGCAGTTACCCGCCTGTCGTGTCGCGATATGGGTGCGACAGAAGGCAGCCCCGGCAGGGACCGCGCTCCCCTGGGCGCCCGCGGGGTCTGGCGACCTCAGGAGGGGGGGGAGGGGGGGACGGGTCCCACCGGCCCCGTGCCTCCGCGCACCCTTTTTTTTTTGTTTTTCTTCCCCGTTTTTCTCTGTAAAGAAGCAAACGGAGCCGGGCCCGTTTGCCGGCAGCATCGTGAGGCGAAGCGGAGGCTGCCCACGGCGCTGCTGTCACCTCACAGCGCCGGGCTCGGCTCCCAGCGGCCCTCGGAGGAGCTGGGGCCGTGCCTGACGGGTGCTCGGGGCCGCTTCGGGGCTTCAGAGTCCTGTTCCTGAGTCTGAGTGCTGCCACCAGTGTGCCCCAAAATGCCCTTGGTATTGCATGGATCTAAAGGTTTTAGAGCTAAAAGGCTAAAGGGTGGTATTTATGTAGAAAAATCTACAAGCTGTATGAGCTGAACCCTGAAAACCATTTATTCTTCTATATGTATGAAAGAACGATCAAAAATACTATATTTGATGTATCTTTTCTGGGTTTTAAACGCACATTCAGTATAAAAAACGTTAACAAATGTCAGCCTGAGGAAAATGCTGGAAGTATCACGGCCTCCTCAAACTCAGGAGGGACGTTTGTGTGGCTCTCCTTTCTCTTTATATGAGGTACTTTTAAAAGATATTCTAACTATAAGAAAAAAGCACATGATTTTGTTTCCTGTCTAAATTTAAGCTTTGGAAAAGGCAGCTCAAAAAAAAAAATGCAGTCACTGAACAATAGGAATCAGAAGGCGTAATGGGTCAGCAGTGATGCAATTGTGATATCTTTGAAGACGTGGAAGATGAGGAAGTCTGCCAGAAACTCGGAGTGCTTGCCGAGTGTGTCAATTCTCCTTTCAACAAGAAGCGAAAACTTTAGGATACAGTGAAAGTAAAGCAGATGTATTTTTTTCCTGTATAGATAGCTGGTGAACTCTTGGAAAACGGGAGTATCTAAAATAGTGTTTAGATGCTGATTGTTGCGCTGTGCCCCTTGCAAACAGGACGTGCTTGCATGATTAATCACCCTGCTTGTGATCCGTTGTCAGTCATTCTCAGGTTTGTGTGAATGAAACAGCAGCATATTTAAGATACTGAATTTTATTTTAACTGTCCTGCCTTCATTCTGTATCTCTTTGGTTCATGTTTACTGTGTGTAAAGGTCAGGGGGAGGGATGGTGATTTGGTTGTGGCAAGGGGGATGTGAATGGGGGCAGAGACAGAAGTGCTGGGATTGCAAGAGGCCAGGGCGGAAGCGTTGGTGTGCTTGGTGTCGCCTTGTTCTCCCTTCTTGTGTGTCGTGGTGCCTCGGAATGAGGGAAGGAAGCTGGTCCCTACCTGCATGGGTCTGAACCTCTCATCCTTGCTTCTTCAGGAGGATCTGAGTGGTTTAAAAATAAAACAACACCAACAGCAACAAAGACCACGCAAGTCCCCTGTCCGTCTGGAGAGGAAAGCAGAAGCTGGTCTGCCCTTTGTGAACTAAGACCCAGGGAGTTTAGCTTCAGCTCCTGCCCTCTGATCCACTCTCTGAAGCACTGATAACTGGTTCTGTGCAAGCTCATGTTATCAGGTCCCTGGGGTTCAGGCTGGGGTGAGCAGGCAGGCAGGCTGGGCACACACTTGTTACTGATTGTGTGGTGCAGAGCTGGCTTGTGGGTGAAGACTAAGAAGAACAAGGCACGCCTCAGTTCGTGGCGCAGGGTCTTTTTAAGGCTATGTTTATTTTTTGGCTTCTCCCATTCCCTGCGTATTTAAGACGTGAATGTAACGCCCCGTTAATCCAGAGTTAGTACAGCACCAAAATTGAAAACGTGGTCACAGGAAAGTCACATGCCCAACAAGCAGCTCTGCTAGTGATGAGCTGATAAGCCCTGGATGCAGCCAACAAGCAGACGTTTTTTCCGGTGCCTTTGGGTGCTGGCCTGTAGGCAGAGGTTGGTCTGACACAGGCCGGTGTCCGTGGAACACGCCGTGCTGTGTGATGTGCTGTGAAGCACTGCCTGGGGGCTGGTCCCGGTACCAGCTGCTGACCTCCAGGACGCCGCAGTGACACGGCCCCCCGAGCGGTCAGTACAGGGGCAGAGAATCTGAAATCACTGCAACTGCATCTCTGTTCCCATTCACCCCGTGAGGAAAAAGAGGATCTTGGGTGGGGCATGGCCTCGTCAGCGCATCTCTTCTCACAGTGATAGTTTCACAGAGTTACTTTAATTAGTTCTCCAGCATTTAACGATGGAATGCCTGCAAAGAGTTTCCAGTTAACGCCGTCACCACTGAAGCTGCTTGCTTGCTTAATGTATGTTCCAGCTTCTGTTCTCCTGGCTTTTGTAGTTCTGATGACTCTAACATTTTGGCAGATATACGGTATCGTGGGACAGATTTCTCTGGTGGCAAAGCTTTTCCTGGTGGTTTTTAATACAGCTGTGATTAACTTAACCCAAACTGAAACTGAATGGTGGTCAAAAAGCCTTTGTCTGTCTTGCAACCTGCCAAAATGCTGCTACCGGGAAATGATCAAGGATAGGCCTGCTGTACCATTGGTGCCAGTGAGATACAACTGGCACTTCCCTTTGCTTCCTGAGGCCGGTGCTTGATCCATTCAGACTGATCTCTCCCAAGTACACAAAAACTGCAATTTCATTGAATCAGTAATTGCGTAGTCCTTGTCCGTACGTGGCAATGTTGAGTATTTGATTCAATCCTAGTAGCGTTTGCTTGCCACAATTTACCATCCTTACCAATAACTTACTTGCCACAATTCACCATCTGGTGAGTCCTCTGGTTACTTGTTCTAGCTGTGTTCTCAGAGGT